AAATCCTGYGTGAGGTGTTGAAGCAGATGAGCCCTTCCTGATGTGAGGCAATGAGGCAACTCATGTGCTCGCAGGTGCCTTTCCCAAAGGAAACGGTGTGGAAGAAGTGCCGCCTCTTCCCACTGCTCCTCAGGGCTGGACAGAAGGGCTTTCCCAGGAGGAAGGAAGCAGGAGCCTTCTCCTTGTTATGGGAGATGTGGGCGACCCTCAGGCCAGGCCGCAGCCATCCTGCCCGGGGCCAGGACGAGCGTCTGCTCCTCGCTGAGCCTCRCGGAGCATCCATGGCAGCAGGGGAAGGCGTCCCTCCCTCCTCGGCTCTCCTTGGCACCTCCCTTCTCCGCTCCCTCTGCTCCAGAGGACGAAATGAGGCAGCTCTGCTGTTTCCCCAGCTCGCAAAGGGCCCGGCTCGTGCGGCCATCGCGGCCCTGTGGGGATACGGCCCCACGGTGGCTGCCGGGGAGCACAAGGGCGCCTGGAGCGGTGGGAAGGAAGGGGTGGGATGGGCGCAGCGCTTGTGCCGCTGGAGGATGTGGCTCCGCTGAGTCAGCTCTGCGGAGCAGCGCCTGTTTTGGAAGGCTGGGAGGGAATTCCCGGCCGGCGGCAGGAAGTGCTGGCGCTGGACGCAGAAATAGGTGTGAGTTTTGGGCCACGTGCCTTCCCTGCCGGGCTGTGGGTGCGGGAGGGCCTCCTTGCGTGGGGAAGTGAGGAAAGGAGKGATCTCAGCAGCCCAGCAGCATTGTGTGCCGGTGGAATGGCCCTCAGCGGGGTACCTGGGGTATTTTGTCCACCTGAATGTAGTAAGGGTGGGGTGGTGTCATCTTTGCCAGCTTGGGAAGCAAGTATCATCTGGCTGGTGTGTTGTCTGTGCTGTTGCACATGGACAAGTARCGTTCCCACCAAGGAATCCCTGGAGCTCTTTGCGGGCTTTTCTGCTGCCACCTCTGCTCTGCTTTCCAGTGCTCTGCAGCCTTTGACATCTTCCATTCTAACACCTCCGGTGTCAGGACATAATCAATGCCAATTCTAATTTCAATGTTTTTTTCCCACTTGGAAAAAACACTGTTTGGTCTTCAGATTGGTTGTAAAATGAGTTTCCTGCATTGGGTAGAGCTGAAGGGGCTTTTAGTGACTGTTTTCTGAGAGTGACATCCCTTTGGCCTTGAGCTTTGCTCCCGTATCACGCTGGASGTGGCTGTTTCTAATGTATCTTGGCCATGTCTCAGTTGCTTGAGGTCTGTCTCCTCTGCATGGCCTTCACTTTTGACCCACCGCCCTCAAGACATGGCTACCACACAAGACTCGTGTCCCAACAGTGTCTCCCACATGGTCTTTTGCTACTGCTCTACAAGGAAATCTGATGGATAGAGACATGCTCCTGTATTTAGCCTTCTAGAGCTTATTGACCCATGCCAGATGTGCAGACCCCACAAGGGTCTGCATTTCTTTCATGAGACACCTCCAGAGAGAGGGTTGTCCAGATATGGGAGAAATAACGTGCTGTGAACAGGCTGGTGTTTGTACAGCGCTGTGTGCAGTGCAGGCCTGGTCAGAGAAGCTCCATAATAACCTGCTATAATATCAGCGAGAGGAGCCTGCTCCTCGTCCCGTGTTATTCCTTTGATGCTTGCTCCCCCTGTGTTCACCCACCCACGTTTTTGTCTCGCACTTGCCGTTCCAGACAGGAACCATTTCCGTTTTATCCTGTGGTGCAGTTTTCAAGCCCAGTAGTGAGGCAAGCGCCTCTCGCCCTCAACAAATGACGGATTGATGAAACAAGAAGGAAAGAATGAAAAGGCCTCTTTCAATGCAGCCGAGGCAAAAGACAGATTGGGAGCCAGGGCTGGAAAATAAACACTTGCCACATCCGTCGCTCTGCTTTCCTGGTTTTATTTCCCTTCCCAGCACTGCTGCTGTAGTGGGTTTGTTTTTTCAGAGTGGAAGATGATAACCTGTGGCTGCCCAAGATTCCTCCTGCCACCGTGGGAGAGAGCGACGGCTTCGCCCTGCCCGGCTGTGGGCAGCCTCTTCTGCTCTAAGAGGGGAACTCGGGTTGATGATGCTCCTGAAATAACAAGTAGAGAGAGGAAGAAGCTCCATCCCTGCTCTGGAACAGCGCACAGGGCGTCTGTGAGCTTTCCAGCTCCGTGTTATCGTGCATTGCCTGGATTGCGGCCATGCCCCGAGTACTCATCTGTGGGCAGCCGTTATCTGTTTTACACATAAGCTGCTTTCCTGCGCCGATTAAACGCAGCATTTTATTAAAAACTACAGTGGATGAACCTAAAACATCATTACAGCATAACAACAGCACAAGCAAAAGGGAATGATTTCTGCCCGCATTGGAGCCACTTGGTTTTTACTTGGGTCTAATAGAGAGCTGAGAATGAGCAATTTGACAGATGATTGCTTTTACCAATCCTTGCCATTTTAGTACAAGATTTTACGTGATTGCTGTGCTATAACCCCAGCCCCCAAAGAGAAGCTGTTAGCTGAGAAATCCTGCTGTTATTACAGAAAAAAAAAGCACATCCTTATTCTCCATTTTTATATCTAGGAGAACTTGAAAAGATGACCTGAGGGCACTTTCTGACTCAACATTCAGAAAGCAAGTGAAAGCAAACCAACATTTATTAACAGTTTGGTTCTTTTAAATTCCACTTGATGAGTGGTGTGGCCTAGCTGGTAAGGGCCGGCTATTTAGATAGCCTGTACTGCTCGAAACAGGTCGGCTTCCTTGTGCACGTGGATTTTCTTTGTTCCATTGCAGTTTTTAGCTTTTATTCAAAAAACAAGTCTGGGAAGTTCCATAAAGAATTAGAGGTTCCAAAGCAGGACTCTGTGTGAGCAGGGGATGGTACCTTTAATATGATTTTGTAGCAGAATACATTAATAATGTTGGAAACTAATCTTTTTGAGATTTTTCTTGGTTCTGAATCAGCATCAACACAAATTCCAGGASAGTCTACCATGCTAATTTTGACAAATATATTTGGTTTGTATCTGTCAATTGAGCAGTCTTTCCCTCTTGCTCTCTAATATAGCTAACTGCTATAAGGACTCATGTGTAATATGAATAATAAAGTGTTGAATTCATCAACATTTCACAGAAATGCCTATTCCCTCTCCCATGGGCACCGAAGAAAATCCTGTCATCATCTTCATGCCTGTAAAGGGGAAGGGCTGGACGTGATCCCACGCTGCCCTGCGCAGCGTGGGAGCGTTGACTCTAGTGATGATTGTAGGGAAAGGGAGAGCCCAGCGACATCCCCGCGTGATTCACGGTGGGGAGTACGGAGGTGGTGTGGATGCCAACCACGGTCAAGATGAATCATTTTGGGTCATCTGTGGCCCATAGCGTGTCCCGTAGACAATGAGGTAGCCATGGGGTAGTGTTCTATTGAAAAATGGTCTTTYCCATTAGCCAGGTTCCATGCTGATGGGCCTCCTGCCCCACCGGGATGTACATGTTCTCCTCCAAGGCCATCACTTCCAGGGCCTTCTGCCCAAGCAGCTCAATGCTGGAGGTTGACAGCCATCTACTGCCTAAAATAGGGACCTGGGGGTGTAAATGAGCAGTTTTGCTGAGTCCTGGGAGCACCAGAGTGAACTCAGGAGAAGGAGATACTCACGTTCCCGGTCCTAGTCCTCAAAGAGCCTTTGGTTTTGAAGGCCAAGTAAAAGTTCTGAAAAAGGAGCAGGAAGGAGGGAAGGCAAAGGTGAGCRGAGGGTAATGTGGGCCAATTTAGCTGGGTCTGTTCAGCCTGGAGAAGAGAAGGCTGAGGGGGACCTGATCAGTGTCTATAAATACCTCAAGGGAGGGAGGGAGGAGGAGGGGGCCGACCTCTTTTCAGTGGTGGACAGTGATAGGACTAGAGGAWATGGCTTCAAACTGAAGCATCGGAAGTTCCACAGGAACTTAAGGAAGCATTTCTTCACTGTGAGGGTGACAAAGCACTGGAACAGGCTGCCCAGAGAGGTTGTGGAGTCTCCTTCTTTGGAGATCTTTAAAACCCACTTGGATGCAGCCCTGTGCCATGTGCTCTAGGTGACCCTGTGTGTGCAGGGGGGTTGGACTCGATGACCTCTGAGGTCCCTTCCAACCTTAGGCATTCTATGAAATGAGCATTCTATGAAATGAGCAATGTTGTCACGTCTTAATGCTGCTCGGAGGCTTTTCAAAGGTGCTTGTTAAGACAGACACCTCCAGAGACAAACAGCCCTGACAGCAGCTTCCAGGAGAGCCTGTTTCTACTCACGGCTTTTGAAAGGAGCCTGGGGTGACTAGTTCAAGTCTTAGATGTCTATTAGATGCCTAAGTTAGGGCATGTGAATCCTATGCTGGRAGTCAGTCAGCCTGAGATATTTCTGTGGTTCCCCAGCTACATCCTCTCTTTACCATATTAAGAACATCTGGATGAAGTGATTTATAGCACTCCCTCTCTTGATAGCGTTGGCTGTATTTTATGTCCCAGTCATTTTCTGTGTTACTGAATTACTGTTCATGAGTGAATGGATTTTGAGGTAAAGCCTTTCACAGACTTTGGATGCTTTTGAATGTGCCTCTGAGTTACAAGCTCTCCTCCTTTCCTTCTTTTTACCCACCAGGTCTTTCCGTTTTTCCCTCACTGTGTTGGTTTCTCGTTCTGGGACCATACCATGATTTGTGAACTGGTCACTACCAAACTTGTTGCTACTGACTTTTGTAAGCGAGGCTGGGTCAGGCTTGCCTAGTACCTGGTCTGGGGACCTCCACGCCTAGGCTGGAGCAGTGTGTGAAATAGCACCGATGACCTGGTGGCTGCTGCCTCTTCCTCAGGGTTAATGTATTATTAGGGTGCTGAGGACAGCAAAGGCTTTTGCTGGGTGGTCCTAGCAGAGCTTCTCTCTCCCAGCTACACTCAAGAAAATTATTTTGGACCTGAGTCACAGGTCATGATTTCATTTTTTTTTTTCCCATTCAGTTGGTTTATTTATTGACATCTCATTTTTATTTCTTACAGGCTCCCCATCTGTCTGTTACAAGCCTACCAGCCCAGCCCAGATCCTGGAAGACACTGGCTTTCTTTACCCAGACCACCAGTTATTTGCTGGCAGGCATGAAGTTCCTCCGTTAACAGCTGAAGTGATCAGTGGTGCTAAAGAGAAAGCTGGTAAGTGGGTGGCCGCACTTGCACACCAACCTATCACATTTACTTCAGCATTTTTCCTCAAATATAATTTGAACAGTTTAGACCATTTACAGTTAACACTGTAAATGGGTGTGGGAGGCCAGCTCCTCACCCCCAGCAGAATCAAAGGGGTTTCTGACTTCAGTGCCATGACCCATCATCATTTTTCACTACTGCTTGTGGAGGAGGCACCATTTCTACTTGTCCTTCAGGACCTGGTTGCTCTGCACTGAACATCTGGGCCAAGGTCTGTAGCGTTTTGCCAAAGGAGCMGGACTGCAGGCACCTGGTGGAAGGCACAAGGAGTTAAATCCTCAAAAACCATCCCCTATATCATATCTCCCCAACATCCTCCCCAATATCTGCCCCTCTACTCAGCTCTGGTGAGGCCGCACCTGGAGTACTGTGTTCAGTTCTGGGCACCCCAGTATAGGAAGGACGTGGAGCTTCTGGAGAGGGTCCAGAGAAGGGCAACTAGGATGATTAAGGGAATGGAACATCTCTCGTATGAAGAGAGGCTGAGTGAGCTGGGCCTTTTTTCTCTGGAGAAGAGACAGCTCAGAGGGGATATGATTAATATGTATAAGTTCAGGAAGGGAGAATGCAGGGAGGAAGG